TAAACCACAAACAAAGATAGATATCCACACTCTGACATGACGAGGAGACGGTTTGTTTAAGGTTTTGTGGCGTTACCCAATAACGTCAGAGCAGAATTCAAACAGCATGCAGCTAAAAATATACACACACACACACACACACACAGATAGCTCAGATGCCAGCTGAGAAATGCTTTAGCCTCCTGGGCTAACTTTAGCGAGGCCGACATGAGCAGCGGCAGAGGAGAGTCTCAATATGCTGAACTCTGCTGGGCCAGAAGTATGTGGACATACCTGTGTTCTCATGCTGAGGGCAAAGTTCAGCAGGTAATAGCAGGATTTAAGCCAACTACATCTGTAAACAATGAGCAGATGAACGCTCCTGCTTCTGGGATGAAGTAAGTCCATTCGTCCACATACTTATGGTCACATGAACAGCTATGACATTGATGTAACGGTGAGTAAACAACCTGAGGCTGAGATAACAGCAGTTCTTTGAAAGAGCCGGTTTGTTGGCAGTTTAGTAAACACGAGATTCAAAATAAAAGCTGAGAAATGCACTTGAAAGCACGCAGACAGCCCCGACTGATCACCTCGATCATCTCGGCGCAGCACTGAGCGGCACGGAGAAACTGGAAACACGAGCCTCAGCTGTGATTTCTCAATGCAGAAACATTATATTAGCGGCTGTTTGGAAACTGACTCAGTAACTGACTAATCACAAGTGAAAACGAAGGACTGACAAAAGCAGATGAGGGCAACGTTTTTCTCCCTCAGGCTGATGTAGATACAGTAAACAAAGGCCTGACGAATGTTAACATTGTTACTTTGTGTTAATAAAACACGTTAAAACAAAGATGTATTCCCAGAGAAACTGCTTTACACTGTATGATGAACATTAGACAATTTTAATCCGTGTATACAAAGTAAATACCTGAACAGAGTGAGTCACATGAGCTGTATCTTTAGTGATTTGTAGCAAACGACCAGTTCAGGGTCTCAGTTCAGAGTTATCAAGCTTTTCCTTGTTTCTCTTGTTTCTGAGAAGCGAACGGATGAAATAAGCTATCATCTGTATGTTTGTGTCGATGCACATGCATGCACAGAAGCATTGTGCTAATGTAAATTACCTTAATGTAAACTCACATAATGCACAATGACCAGTGTAAAGAGCTGTTTTTTGTTCAGCTTGGTCTAAATGTGTAAATTATTATTATTTTAATATGTTCTAACTAGGGCTGATATATATCAGATGACGATATAAAAACGTCTATCGTTTCATTTTACGCTATCGTTTGTTTCGTGGTGTCGCAAAATAAACTGTTTACGGCAATATTTTTTAATCGTTTTGATGGTCGCTGTAGTGGCTATATTAATTTCTTAAAGTTCTCTCTTTCTCTTATATTTAATATAACCACACTACAGACAGACAAGCACTTTTTTTTTATGCGTTGTCGTTAGCAACAACGACGGTAAAACCATCCTGTGTCCGCTTGTTTATTTTCCACATAAACCTTTCACAATAAAGCTCAATATCCTGTTGAGACTTTTCAAAATAAACTGAATCACGTGAAAGATGCAGATTATTTACTACGGATGAGAAAAAAAAAGAGCCGTCAGGTGCCAAAAAATAAACCTTAGACTCAAACGTTAGAACAGGCTTTTCCCCGCAGCACGCTGTGTAATAAATACTCACAAAGAAAACGGCGGCCGTTACAACTTATGTCTAAAAATGTATCGTTTCATGCATCTGTTAAAACACTGGACTCCAGCTACATGACGCCCAGCTCGAAACACTTCATGCAAGTCGAGCTGCCCGAGATTCTCAGAATTTACAGAAAATGTTACATTTCTGTGATTTATATCGTTATCGGACGATAGATTTCTTATATCGGGATACGAGATTTTGGTCATATCACACAGCCCTAGTTCTAACACTAATACAAACCCCAGGAGTCACAGATTATTCAGCACTTATTTAACTGGTATAAAGCTGTTGTTACGTCACTGTGCACAAAGCGACCAATTAGGTGAGTGTAAAAGTGCTGGAATGCATCTGAGGGCTTTTATTGTGAAATACAGGAACAGGAAGAAACCCGCTTTGCCAATGTTTAGAAAAAGTTGGTGCATATGTTCTAGTGACAGACATCACTTCTGGATCCAGAAACCAGTGGGCGATGTCGCAGTAGCTATGTCCATCTTTTATATACAGGCTTTGGTTCTGATGAATGAAAATGTGTTTAAAGTAGATTTAGTTTAGTTTTTGTTATAATTTGATGATGTAATGTTTAATATTTTGTATCAATCCCTGCTGACATCACAGACTTTGTGTCTTCTGATAATCTTTATCTGATTCAGACAAGACGGCTAACCGAGAAAATAATCTGCACATTAATCAATAATGAAAATGTTCTTTAGCACAGATGGAGCTGCAACTAACATTTAGCAATAAAACTGCAGATTACCTGAGAATACCAAGAATACCAAAAAACATGACACTGATTATCACAGCCTGACCTTCACAGAGCACTGCTGCAAACTATTATCATCATTTTCATTATCAGCAGGCAGCTTTAACTCTGAGACATGGTGCCGCTTTCAAGGTGATGCATCTCATTTAGTCTTAGCTCCAGCCCCATTATTCACTTTATAATAAAACAAGAGGACATAAATCAGCAGGTCTTCCTTTTCAGATGCATAAATCCGCAGAGATTTGCATTCTTTACAGGATTGTGAAAAGAAACAAATGGTGACATCTGTGCTCAAAATAATGAAAAATGGGGGCAAGAAACCCCTCACACTTTAAATTATGAATAAAAATGAGTTGAAATGAACTAAATCCACAGGTTGTTTATTTGTATTTACTGTTCTTAAGTTTCTAAACTTTTATTTACTGTAAAGTTGAACTTCTAAACTAACCGAATCTGTTTTCCAAATGAATAAAAACGACAAATGACTGAAAATATGAATACATGAAAAGAAGAATTAACGCTTAAATGAATTAATAACACATAAAAGTGGAAAAGTGCAGTAAAAGTACCTCAGTCATAATAACAGCATTAATTACTATGTGTGCGCGTGCTCCGCTCTGATTGGATCCCGTTACCGGAGATGACTCACCTGTACAGGACCGGAGGAAACCGTGAGTCTCGTGGAAGCCACACGATGCCCCGCTCACTCTCTCTCCATGTCCACCTTCAGTAAAA